TCCCAAACTCCTAATTTATCCCTCCCCACCCCCTTCCCTTTTGGTAACCATATGTTTGTTTTCTATGTCTGTTAATCTATTTCTGTTTTGTAAATAAGTTCATTGTGTCAATTTTAGATTCCACATATAAGTATTATAATATGATATTTGTCTCTGTCTGACTTACTTCACTTAGTATGATAATCTCTAGGTCTATCCATATTACTGCAAATGGCATTATTTCATTTTTATGGCTGAGTAGTATTCCATTGTGTATATATATATATATATATATATATATATATATATATATATATATATATATATATATACACAGCTTCTTTATTCAGTGATGGAATGTTGGTGCAGCACCAAAGACCTAGTGCTCCTTGGAACAGTCAGGACTCTTGGTTGTAAGTGACAGAATTTAATTTTAAAAATCTCTCTTTTTTTAGTTGATTTGTTTGAATCAGGAGCCAAAGAAAGTTCACATATTATGGTTGGTTGCTGTGTTTCTTAAGACTCTTTTAATATGTTCCCCCTCCATTTCTTTTAATGTCATTTGCTTGTTGAAGCCAGATCATTTGTCCTGTAAAATTTTCCACATTTTTGATTTAGGTAATTGCTTCCGTGGTGTTATTTAACCTGTTCTTCCATCCCTCTTATTTTCTGTACACTAGTAGTTAGATCTAGAGGGTTGATTAGATTCAGGATGATGGTGATGATAATGACGATGATGATGATTTTGGTGAGAGTACTGCAAAGGTGCTGCTACATACTTACTATATGTATTATAGGAGGTGTGTGATGTCTGGTTGTCCAGCTTTTGGTGATGTTAAGATTGACTGCTGGGTTCTTTTTTTTTAAGGCAGTTGTGGAAATTTGAACATAGCTTGGATATCAAATAATGTTAAGAAGTTATTGCTAGATCTTTTAGGTATAATTTTGTATTACATAATGGTATTGTGCTTAGGCAGAATAAAAATCCTTATCTGACATACAGGAACATGATTGAATTTCAAAACGTCATGCCGAGTGAAAAAGCTAGACCCATACTGTATGATTTCATTTGCATGGAACATTCCAGAACAGGCAAAACTAATCTATACTGACAGAAAGCAGATCAATGGTTGCTTGGAGCTGTTGGGTGGGGATTTGTAGAAGGGCATGAAATTTTAGGGGTGATGGAAATATTTCCTATTTTGATTATGGTGGTAATTACATGGGTATATACATTTGTCAAAACTAATTGAACCATGCCCTTAAAATGAATGTGTTATATTATATGGAAATAAAGATGTATGTTATTGTGTATATATAAAGTTGATTTTAAAATAAAATAAAATAAGGTTATAACTAGAATGAGAAGAATCCATTCAAGATAGCCACAAAACTATAATATACCTATGGAGGTGGGGGGAAATCTAATGATATACTAGACTTTTACAGAGAAAATTATAAAATTATATTAAAGGACATAAAAGAAGACATAAATATATGGAGAAATACACTATATTCATAGATAGAAGTCTTAATATCCTTCTCAAATGAATCTATAAAGTTAATGCAATTTTATTAAAAACTCAAGGGGTTTTTGAAAAGTCTTTACCTGGTAGAAATAAATACTGAAGTGTTTTAAGTTGAAATGCTATGATAAGGGGGAGGGTATAGCTCTGCATGCATGAGGTCCTGGGTTCAATCCCCAGTACCTCCTCTAAAAATAACTAAATAAACCTAATTACCCCCCCACCTAAAAAAAATGCTATGATATCTGGGATTTGTTTTAACAGATTTCAAGGAAATCGTGTGGAAGGGAAGAAGGAATGAACCAGTGTTGGCCACGTGTTGGGAATTGTTGACGCTGGGTGATGGGTACATATTCTAGAAAGCGAGCAGTGCTGCGCTTCTTTTGCAGGTGAGAAAACGCTCCTACCCTGGGGCAGCAAGAGAACCCTGCTGAAAGTTTTGAAGCAGAGGTTCTCCAGGTCTGACTCCATCATGCTCTACAGCCCCTTTAGGGCAGGACAGACCAGAGGAGGTCTTGTGAGCCTTGTTAAGGAGTTTGGACTTTATCCCGTGTTCAGCATTTCAGACCCTCTTTACTGTATGTATCTGGCACCTTGGAAGGGCCTCTCATCCTGTCTCCCTCCGTGGTGGGTGTACCAGTTAGAACTCTCAATTTTAAGTGCCAGAAATCCAACTCAAATGTATTGGTTTACGTGGAAAAAGAAACTTATGCCTTATGTGACAGAAAGGGGTCAGGCACAGCTTGATCCAGATACTCAAATGATGTCCAGAATATGTCTGTCTTCGTGTCTTGGATCTGCAGTCCTCTGTGTGCACTCATTCTGGCCGGCGTTTCCTCCATGGGGCCAAGGTGGTCACTAGTAGTCCTGGACTTACCGCCTTTCAGCTTACTAACCCCTAGTGGAAAGGGGGCTCTTTTTCCTAGCAGCTCCAGAGTCTACTTCTGAATATATAGACTTGAATCAAGTGTCTACCCCGAACCAATCAAAAAATGTTGCTCTGACTGGGGACGCGTGGGCTCTGTGTCTATCCTGTACCCTCTCTTGAACCTCAGGGACTGCCAGTGAGGAAAGGTTGTTTCCCTCAAGGAAAAATATAGCCTTCAGTGAAGGAGGGATGGTAAGATGCTGGGCCAGCGGCACCGGCAGGAACAGCCTCCCAACACCCCTCATACGGGGAGGACCGGCCCCTGAATAATCACGTGAAGTGCCTCATGGCACGGCCTTTGTACTTGCCACTGAACTAACTCTCACTCGTGCTCCCTGGACAGCTACTTCCCCACAGCTTCCCCCACCGGCCTTGCATCTGTCCTCCGCATCAGCCACGTGCTGTCCACAGCATCCCACGGCGCAGACCGGCTGGAATATGAAAGCAGTCTCTGTGGGTCTCCAGCTTTCCCTCTCCAGGCCTGTCAGGGGCAGGGTTTTCAGGCCCTACCACCACATGCATGTCCTCCGCTTGGAGATGAGGTGCTCCAGGACTTAAGGTTGTATGTGCCTCAGTTTCCTCCCTTTAAACTGGAGGTAGTATCTGCCAGCTGGGGGTGTTGTGAGGATTAAGGGAGTGCAACGTATTTATAGTGTTTAGAACCGTGCTGGCATGGTGCTGGCACTTACTGAGTTCTTCTTCTTTTTTAAATTGAAGTATTGTTGATTTACAATGTTGTGTTAGTTAGCAAAGTGATTCAGTTATACATATATATATACATATATATGTCGATTCTTTTTCAGATTCTTTCCCATTATAGGTTATTACAAGATATTGAATATAGTTCCCTGTGCTATACAGTAGGCCCTTGTTGGTTGTCTATTTTATATATGCTAATCCCAAACTCCTAATTTATCCCTCCCCACGCCCTTTCTCCTTTGGTAACCATGTTTGTTTTCTATGTTTGTGAGACTATTTCTGTTTTGTAAATAAGTTCATTTGTCTCATTTTTTTAAGATTCCACATGTAAGCAATATCATATATTTGTCTTTCTCTGACTTACTTCACTTAGCATGATCATCTCTAGGTCCATTCATGTGGCTAGAAATGGCATTTCATTCCTTGTTATGGCTGAGAAATATTCCATTGTATATATATCACATATTCTTTATCCAGTCATCTTTTTGATGGGCATTTAGGTTGCTTCTATGTCTTATCACTTCTGCTGGAGACTGCACATCCCAGTCCCTGCCCATCCCCGTCCAGTCCTGCCCAGTAGCAGGTTTTCAGATGAAATACAACTCATAGGTTTTCACAATTAAATAATGTATAGGACACTTTAAAAACCATTGTCTCACTTGAGCCTCAAAACTTTGTGAGGTGGGAGGACAAGTCATACTTATCTTCAGTTTACAGATGAAAAAACTGAGGTTTAGAAGTGGTTAGACCTTGCGCCCAAGATCATACAGCCAATCTGTAGTGGAGGTGGGATTTGAATCAGGTGCTGAAGAATCGCATTATTGGGCCTTTGCTCAGACTGCCCCTCAGCCAACAAGACCTCCTTTGGTCATGCCCGTTGGTTTAGTCTCATCCTTTCAGGTTCAACCCCAATACTCTGTAAGCAGTAACAGTGACAAGAGATAACATTTATTATGCACTTGCTACACTTCGGATGAGGTGCAGAAGGCTTTCTGTTCCCATAACCTCAGGAAGTAGGTATGATGCTGTTACAGAAGGAGAAACTGAGGCTGACAGAGGTTAAGGAACCTGCCCAAGGTCTCTCAGTAGGAGTGACAGCCATGAGTCAAACTCATAAAACCAGACTCTGATTCTAGAGTGTGCCTTTCTTGCCCTCTGCATTGCTACCTCCATGACACAGTCTCTGAACCCAAGGATGGAAATAAACTCCTTCCTCTTGAGTCTGAAGTCTGGGCTTCTGCCTCTGCTTAGCTCCTTTGAGCTGTTACTTGTGCTTCTCCTTCCAGGAGGCAGAGAGCTCTTTGGGGGCAGGAGCCTGACTCTGCCTCCTTCACCTCTGTGGTCCCTGCACAAAGAGGTGCCCCCTAATGCCTAATTGTTTCATTTGCCTCCCATGAGGCAGGCAGGGCAGAGGGGCTTCTGGATGAAGACAGACCCAGAGAGGTTAAGTGACTCTCCCAAGGCCACCCATTTGTAAACTAGGAGCCTGGACAGCCCCAGGGCTCTCCCTCCTCCTTGACCCCTCCCCTCCTCTGTTCCCCGACAGTCGGTTGGGCAGGAGAAAGCATCACAGCCTCAGCTCGGGGTGGGCGTAGGGGCCTGTACCAAGGCCCCCTAGGGGGAACGGATTGGCCGGTTCATGAATGCCAGGGAAAGGATGGCGAGTAGGCTGGGGGTGGGCTGAAGGAGGAAAGCAGGAACAGGTTATTTTTGCATTTTGACATTAAAAAGTGAAGATTAGATTGCCAGCGACTGGCCAGCAGCATCTGTTTTGGTTTAGAATTGGCAGCTGAGGCGCTGAGCTTCTCGGCGGAGGGAGGGGCTAGGCGGCGCCTCCGCGGAGGGAAGGGCTCTCCTCTTTCAGAGCTCCGCCCAAAGGGGCGCTGCCACCCCTAAGGAGGCGGGCGCCGCCGCTTCTCATTCATTGTCTTGACAAGAGCATCCTCAGCGGGCAGTCTCAGGCTCCTCCAGCTCCTTCCTCCTCCTCCTCCTCTCCCTCCTCCGTTTGCGGGGGTCACTCATCTCAGCAGCAGGTAAGGCTGGGGTCCAGGAGACGGGACTCGACATCACTGCCCTGGGCCACCTGTAGGGCAGGCGAGAGCTTGGCAGAAGCCGGCTGTGGGGGCGGACAGACTGTCAGAGCAAGCTGGCTCTGAGATGGAGACCGAGCTGGTCCACACCCCGCGTGGAAGAACTCGCCTGAGGGTGTGGGTGTGGGTGGGTGTGGGAAGGTCCATCTGTGTGTCCGAGAGCGCTGTGAGGGGACGAGGATGGTGGGACCACAGCAGCCAAGATGAAGGTGGGGAAGCTGGGGGGTCAGGACACCTTCCAGCCCCCACTATCTCAGAATTGGAGTCTTTGGGGGTTGGGGTGGGGGCAGGGTGGAGGGAGCCCAGCAGCTGCCCTGAGCTTGGAGACAGGAAGGGGTTGAGAGCAAAACAAGAAAAGGCCAAGTTCCCCTTTCCGTGGTTTCCGGGCCTGGTACCTGTGGTGGGGGAGGAGGCAGGGTGGGGTGATGGCTTCCTGTCTCCCAACCCCATTTGGGGGTCCCCTCTCCCTTGACCCAGGCTTCCCACTTGGGATGGATCTTCCTGCCCCCAGACTGCTTCTCCTCACACATGCTCCTCATCCCTTTTCTGGGCAGGTGGACCCAGGAGCCACCTGGGGAGTCACAGGGTGGGTGAGGGCGGCTGGAGCCCCCAGTGAGAAGGGCCAGGCCCAAAGGAGAGGCAAATGTGTGAAGCTGGGGCAGTGGAAGAGAGGCCCTGGGGGTGCCCTCGAGTTGGCAGCATGGCCCCCATGCTGAGCTGGAAGGCAATGCTGCTGGGCGCCAGGATGGAGCCTCAAGTGGGGCGAGCCAGAGGTAGGCCTCTTGGCTTCGCTTGCTGTCCGCCCAGCCACCATGGGGGAAAACCATCTAGGTGGACCTCAGAGAAATCAGCGCAGGCTGCTCCCTTCCTGTGGATGGTTCATGGGGTGGAGAAGACACTTAAGGGCACCTGCTTAAGTGGAGGTGAGAAGCAGAGGTGTGTGGGGGAGGAGATGCTGGGACCTGGCCATCCGCCTGCTTCTGGTGCCCAGAGGCCCGCTGGGGAAACCATCCTGCCACTGAGGACGTGCCTCCTGGGCAAACCCACCTACCTCTGCATGTCCAGCCGTGTCTGGAGGCGAGGGAGGGCCCCTGCCTTTAGGAAGTGCCCCACGTGGGTGTGAGGTTGTTGAGTCTGGATGCCCAGGCTGAGAACCCACCCTCCAAGCTGTTGCACTGAAGCCCTGGAGTGTGAACCCCCAGAGGGGATGGCTCTGTGTTTGTCACCCAGTCAGTGGACAGATCAGCACTAGATGCAACCCCACACCAGGCTCTGCTGTGGAGGCCGAGGATACAGAAGCCTGGCCTGGGGTGGGTGGAGAAGGTGGGCCTTGCAGGTTAGCCAGGAGTGACAAGGGGCGGGCAAGATACGAGTGTGAGGGTAGCAGGATGTCGGTTACAGAGGAGAGTGGCAGGGGGCCCGGGGAGGTGATGCTGGGGAAGTGAGCTGAGACCGTGAACTCCAGGCAGAGGGGTGTCCTGGGAGAGACAGGGCCTTGATAAGTCAGAATTGACCTGAAGGGAGAAAAGTTCTCCTCCACCTGTGTGTCCTCCAGGATGAGCCGGCAGGTGGTCCGTTCCAGTAAGTTCCGCCATGTGTTTGGACAGCCAGCCAAGGCCGACCAGTGCTATGAGGACGTGCGTGTCTCACAGACCACCTGGGACAGTGGCTTCTGCGCTGTCAACCCCAAGTTCATGGCCCTGATCTGTGAGGCCAGCGGGGGAGGGGCCTTCCTGGTGCTGCCCCTGGGCAAGGTGAGCCCCTGGAGTCCTGGGGACAGCAGTCCTCCTCCTAAGGGGGCCTCTGGTAATCTAGTAACCCCCTGAGTGTCCTGATTAGGTGACTGTCACCAAGCCTTCCTGGGCCACAGTGTTGTCATCTGTAAAAGTGAGCTGGGCCACATGAAGCGTCCTTGGGTCCTGCAGGCAGGGGTCTATGGAAGCTAAGCTCAGAGGGAAGATGGTGTGGGAAGGGTTGTACAGTGAGTCCTTCAGACCCAGGGCCAGGCCCCCAAGTCTCAGCCTGGAGCTTTCTCACCTGGGGAGCACAGAGTGGGCTGGGATGAGGATCTGGGCAGGCCCAGCAGTGATCTTAGGGTTTGGAGAGACTCCGGGTCTGGGCCTCTCCAGCCCTTGGGAACCCAGCAAGCTCTGGCTCCCAGCTCACAGGCTGGGATGATGTAAGAGATCCTCTCCCCTCCCCCAACCCTGGTCTCCCTCAGATCCTGCTTCCCACCCCCTGCTGTCTGCTGACCCCCCCACCCCAGCATACTCCTGGGCTCTTGAGAGGTGAGACAGGAAGGGGGGATGGGCCCTAAGTTGTTACCTTAAAAGGGCTGATGGAAGCAAAGAGAAGAGGAAGTGGTCGTTGGGGTGAGAGCTGGGCTAGCTCTTCACACAGGAAACCCTGCTGCAGCAGCCGTCCCCGGAAGCAGCCATTTCCAAACCTCTGCTCCAGCCTGGGGGCCAGTTACGACAGACTTCCCCATCCCTGTCCTTTTGGAAGGACCCATCTCCACAGCCCCACCAGTCATACACGCTTCCCTGGGGAACCCCAACCCCAAAATAACTACCCCCAAGCCTGTCCCATTCCTGGGGCCCTGGCCTGTTGCCTCATTGAAGCCTCACTTGGGGAAGTGGGGGTAGGGGTGGGGCCCCAGGCCACAGGGCATGGATGAGAAATTGAGATAGAGATGGCAGGAACTTGGCCAGGGTCTGACAGTAAGGAAGGACCAGCCCAGCACCCCAACCCTGTGCTACTCATGACAGCCCTCCTGAGTTGCCCAGAAACTCAGACTGGAGCAGACGACAAACCCTCCCACCCCCCTAGGCTCTGCTCTGCCTCCCAGGGACCCCACAGCTTTTCTCTCTGTGCCTCTCTGAGGGGCGCGGGGAGGTTGGATTGGGTTTGGAGGGCAAAAGCACTTCCCTCAGAATCCCTGCTGTGTCCTGCAGACTGGACGCGTGGACAAGAATGTGCCTACGGTCTGTGGCCATACCGCCCCCGTGCTGGACATTGCCTGGTGCCCGCACAATGATAACGTCATTGCCAGTGGCTCTGAGGACTGCACAGTCATGGTGAGTGTGGGGGGGACATAGGGGCCAGGAGGGGGCTCCAGCACCGGACCTGACCTTTGGAGCCCCCAAGACTCACTTGTCCCTTCTCCATAGGTGTGGGAGATCCCTGATGGGGGCCTGACGCTGCCCCTGCGGGAGCCTGTTGTCACACTGGAGGGACACACCAAGCGCGTAGGCATCGTGGCCTGGCACCCCACAGCCCAGAATGTGCTGCTCAGTGCAGGTGCCTGGAGGGAAAAGAGGGGAGGGCTGGTTGCCTGATAGCAAGGGTGGAAGGCTTATGGATTCTGACACTGGGGACATCGCCCAGGTTGCGACAACGTGATCTTGGTGTGGGATGTGGGCACTGGGGCGGCCGTGCTGACACTGGGCTCGGACGTGCACCCGGACACGATCTACAGTGTGGACTGGAGCCGAGATGGCGGCCTCATCTGCACCTCCTGCCGCGACAAGCGAGTTCGCATCATTGAGCCCCGCAAAGGCACCATTGTCGCTGTGAGTGGCCTTGACCCCTTGACCCTGGGAGCTTTGCCCCTCCAATCCACCACCAACCAGGCCCCTAGATGCTGCCCTCTCTAGCTCCCAGCTGGGGCCTGGCCAACCCCTTCCCTCTTTTTCCAGGAGAAGGAGCGTCCCCACGAAGGGACCCGGCCGGTGCGTGCTGTGTTTGTGTCAGATGGAAAGATCCTGACCACGGGCTTCAGCCGCATGAGCGAGCGGCAGGTGGCGCTGTGGGACACGGTGAGTCCTGGGCAGGGAGCAGAGACTTAGTCCTTGCCCTGCTACTTGCCCAGTGAGATGGCTATGGCCTCAGTTTACCCACCTTGAGATGGGGGTTTCTGCTAGATGGTCTGTGAGCCCCCCGCCCCACCTCTTCAGCACCACAGCACCCACTGGCCTAACCTGGCTCGGATCATTACCTCCCGCCCTTCTTTACAGAAGCACCTGGAGGAGCCGCTGTCCCTGCAGGAGTTGGACACGAGCAGCGGTGTCCTGCTGCCCTTCTTTGACCCCGACACCAACATTGTCTACCTCTGTGGCAAGGTGGCCCAGGCGGGCAGGGGGTTGGGGGAGCGAGGCGGGCAGGGGGACTTGGAAAGGACCACAGCTGGAGGCATCTGTCGGTACTGATCCTCCCTTGCAGGGTGACAGCTCCATCCGGTACTTCGAGATCACTTCCGAGGCCCCATTCCTGCACTATCTCTCCATGTTCAGTTCCAAGGAGTCCCAGCGTGGCATGGGATACATGCCTAAACGTGGTCTGGAGGTGAACAAGTGTGAGATTGCCAGGTGACTGCCCCTGACCCTGACCTGAGCATGCACCCTGGGCAGTGCTGACCCCATGTTGACCTTCAGTCCCAGCCCAGCCATGCTGTGGGCAATGCTCACCTTTCTGTTTCCACAGATTTTACAAGCTGCATGAGCGGAGGTGTGAACCCATTGCCATGACGGTGCCTAGAAAGGTGATGCTCCCACGTCCCTCCCCAGGCTCTGGGAGTTGCCGGGTGGTGGCGTGACTTAAGTACTCTCTTAACCAGCCTTGGCCTTGCCCCACAGTCGGACCTGTTCCAGGAGGACCTGTACCCGCCCACTGCAGGGCCTGACGCTGCCCTCACGGCTGAGGAGTGGCTGGGGGGTCGGGATGCAGGGCCCCTCCTTATTTCCCTCAAGGATGGCTACGTGCCCCCAAAGAGCCGGGAGCTGAGGGTCAACCGGGGCCTGGACACTGGGCGCAGGAAGACAGCAGCAGAGGCCAGTGGTGCTCCCAGCTCGGTGAGAAGCAGGGCAGGGGCTGCTACTGACGCGGTCATTGGCCCAGTGGAAGGAGGCTGGCATTTGGGGCAGCCAAACTCACAATATTGGGGATCCCTTGGGGGCTGGGAGTGGGTAATCCCGAGGCCTCAGAAAACAGGTTTCAGGCTTATAGGCCTGCAGGTTTCTGGCTGAGAATTGGAAGGGCCGAAGCCTTTGGGGCTCTTGGGAGGAGGCTTAGTGGCCAGGGAGGAGCTGGGCCTAATACAGCCCTGGATCCCCCAGGATGCCGTATCCCGGCTGGAGGAGGAGATGAGGAAACTCCAGGCCACCGTGCAGGAACTACAGAAGCGCCTGGATAGGCTGGAGGAGACAGTCCAGGCCAAGTAGAGGACCAGTGGCTGGCCTCCCCTCCCACTCCTCAGTCCACAATGGCAGATGAGAAAATAATAATAAAATGGCTTTATTTTCTGGTACCTCTCAGACTGTGATAACTGGTCACTGGATGCGGGGTCTGCTGAACTGACCTACCCTTGAGCTTTCCCCTCCACAGCCCTGATAAGATTGACCCATGGCAGGGGCTGGGGGATGCCTCCGAATGCCCGAAACCACAGAGGGGCTTGTTGAGGGGCAGATCCCAAGTCATGACGGAGTCTTCCCTTCTCGTTCAGTCTTCCCTGCACAGTGCTGCTGCCTCTTAAGCTCTTACTGTGGCTTCTACCTGGGCCTGGCCTCTGAGAGGGATCTGAATAGATCTGTCAGGCCTATCAAGGAGGAACTTACAAGTCGGTTTTTGATGGCCAGCTTAGCAGATGACACCCTGAGCTGGTACACTGGGCTATTAGGGATGGGTGTCCTGCCACAGCAGGGCTTCATTCATCCATTCAGGGACCACAGCAAGGACCAAATGTCCAATACGAACCTCCTCCCCCACTTCGGCATGCCAAATGTCCTTGTCTCCTTGTTTTGAGTCTCAACCTCTATGCAAGCCATGTGACCCTGGGCAAGTCACTTCTCTCTAGGCTTGCTGTTGATCTATAGACTGGAGAGGAATACCACCACAGCTCTGTGAATGCAGGGGGTGGATCCAATCAGGTAGAGAGAGAACCAGAACATCTGGAGCCTGGGCCTCACCTTCTCCTGCACACAGGGGTGCTGGGTCCTTTTGGTGAAGTAGACTTTTGAGTAGATACTAGTTTCCCTCCCGGCCCAGGGAAACTAAAAAATGTTCAGGAAAGGATCCGTGGAACCTAGATGCATTAACCCCTAATCACCATGACTTCCAGCTTTACCAGCCCATTCTCCCTTAATAGGAACAAGAGACGGTGGTAGGGGGTGGCGGTAATTTAGGGACCAAGAATCTGACCTGGAAAACAGTGGGACAGGGTGGGTGAGATGTTTGAAATCTGCAATTTCTCACCCTCAAAGGGCCCTGGCCCCAACTGGGTCGCTTGCTATCCCTCCTGGGTCTCAGGGACCTCATCTGTGCAAGGCCTAAACAACCCTGGCACCTGTGTTTGTGTTTATGACTGATGCTAGGGGCATCATCTGCCCCAATTTTGTGGCTCAGGTTATTTTCCTGCTGTAATCCGCTCCCTATGCCCTGCCCATTCCTGCATTCCTGAAAACCTCACCATCTCCCCAGGGCAGCTGTGGTCACATCAAGCCCAGGGCTAAAGGGTCACTGGACCTCCTCCAGTGGGCCAGAAAACATCAGCATTCCAGGTTCGGCACATTTGGAAGCCCCTACTGGGGCACCAGGTCCCTGAGGCTGTGAAGGGCTGGGGGAACTGGAAGGGGACCCCGGGGTGATGTTGGGGAGGGGGAGAGGTTTGTTAAATTGCCCAGGGCCCTGAAACTCTGATCACTGTCTTCTCTGTGCATCCTGAAGGAAAGCAAAGCAGGAACCCCCAGGTCAATGAATGGGTGGGTTGGGTGGGTAGTGGCATTACCCCTATGGTCCAAAGATTACAGAGAAGACCTGTGAGGCCCACACTTGAAGGGACTTTAAGAACAGGACTTTCATTTAAAAGCAGGGACACCAATGCCTATGTGTGGAGAGGACCTTACCCAAAGTAAAACAATGGAGAGTTGGGGGCAGGGAGAAGCCAGGCCCTAGACTCAGCCTCCGCAGCCTCTCACTCTCCTACACACAACACACTGACACACAAGCTGGCCTTGATTCATAATTTAATGTGTGTGCTGGTCCCAGTCTCTTATTTCTGCTGCTCACGGGCCCACTGCTCTGGGGTCAGGGTTTTCTGCTCAAAAGCATGGATGTGCAGGAGCTCTTCCGCTAGGCACGTGTTCACAAGCCTAGGGGAGAGATGGGGTTAGAGAACAGCAGGCTGGGGCCTGGGTCGCGGTCCCCAAAGCTAGGGAGAGACAGGAGACTGAGGTGCTGGGCCGTGCTGGCAGGGGTGAAAGAGTTAGATTTCAGGGAGTGGCCGGGGATGTGATCCCAAAGCTGGGACCACGCTGAGTGAGATGTTCCCGGGGTCTCACCGGTGTCTCTGAAGCAACGGCTTCCCCTCGAATTTGGCCGACACGACGAGGACTCGGAAGCTGGACGAGCAACGGTTGGGAGTCGTGTCCTCCACTTCCTATGGGGCAGAATGGTGTGGATGGTGCCAAGCCCGCCCCCCAGGAGCCCTGTTCCCCTCGTTTGGCGAGTCCAGGCCACTCAACTCACCACGTGCTCCGCCTCAAGGTCGCGCTGCAGCTTCTCCCGGAGGTACTCGGCGCTGAGTTCCATTGCCGCAGCCCAGCGGGGGCGGCAGGCCAGCGCAGACGGAATCCCAGCTCGGACCCCGGCCACAATGCTTCCGCCCTTATTGGTGCCACTTCCGCTGAAGCCTCTACTTCCGCCCCTACTAAGGCGTCCGTAAACTCAGCACTTCCGCCCTGCCACAAGTCCAGCTTTCAAGTTTTGAGTTTCTGCGCCTATCAACAGTTAGCCAATCAGAGTCTGCATAAGGACCAAATCGGCTCCAGCGGATGCTAATTGGTGCCCGCCGCCCGCACAGCAGCCTGGGTTCTATGCGCCGGTTTGGACGCTGTAGCTCCAGCTAGGAGAGGGTGCACAAGCCTGCATTTCTGTGGCCTCTAGGGTAACCTCCGGATCGCCCCCAAGTGCTTTTTGCTAGACAAGCATCTTGCGGCCCTGGCAACCGAGCCCTCACTGGGGTCACAGGCCACAGCAATCAACCCCAAGTCGCGATGGGCCCCGCAGGGGGCGAGGCGAGGCCCGGGCGTTTCTTTGGCGTCTACTTGCTCTACTGCCTAAACCCTCGGCACCGGGGCCGCGTTTACGTCGGGTTCACCATCAACCCTGCTCGTCGGGTCCAGCAGCACAACGCGGGCCGCAAAAAAGGCGGGGCCTGGAGGACCAGTGGGCGCGGGCCCTGGTAAGAGGGGGCGGGTCACTATCAGGAGGAGGGCTTCAAATAGGAGGCGGGGCCCGGTGGGAGAGAGGCCCGCTGAGATGGGCAGGGCCAGAACAGTGACAGTAGGCGGGGCCTGCATGGGAGTGCAGGTCAACCGAGCTGGGGGCCGGCCTATCTTGGGGGAGGGGCGGTGGTAGGGATGCGGAGCCCTGTGTGTCTCAGCTGTGGGACTCAGAGGCGGGGATTGGGTGGGAAGGGAACTGATGATTTAGGTTTGGTGCAGAGACAGGGGGCTTGGTGAACTAGGCTGGGTTGGAATAGGAAAAAACCTGAGGGGGAGAGGAACTGAGGAGGGCAGTTAAGTACACCTGTGCTGGAGGCAGGGGCCTGAGGTTGGCATGTAGGAGAGGAAGGTACCTCCACGAAGGGGACAGGGTCTAGTGGGCTAGGCTTGAGGCCGGGTGTGACTCCACTCTCGGATAGGACTGGAGGCGCATCGTGGCGAGGGGATTCGACTTGACACGGGGTTGTGGCGGGGAGGGCTCAGAGATCGCGCCTTCCTTTTCCCAGGGAAATGGTGCTCATCGTACACGGCTTCCCGTCTGCTGTGGCCGCCCTTCGGGTAAGTAAGGGGACGGGATGTGGTGGGGGGAGGCTGGGGCCTGAGGACTTCCCGGTAGCCCTGAAGCTCGGTACTCCCGACCCACAGTTCGAGTGGGCATGGCAGCACCCGCAGGCCTCGCGCCGCCTGGCGCACGTGGGTCCGCGCCTGCGCGGCGAAGCCTCCTTCGCCTTCCACCTGCGCGTGCTGGCTCTCATGCTGCGCACGCCGCCGTGGGCTCGCCTCCGCTCTCTTGCGCGTGGCTCCGTGCCTGACGCTGCCGAAGGCACGACGAGGGG